AAACCGGTCTGTTAGTGCTCTAGAGGAGAAAAGCATGCCACAACCTACAGGTGCTGAGTGCCAGAAACTGACCCTTTCCCATAGATGCGACCGCTCTTCCCGTCCGCAAGGAAACATCCATCGGCATTCTCCTGAAAGGCTTCAGCCAAGGAGGAGGTTCCTGTAACTTCAGGGCCACTCTGGGCTGTGGTGCTGGGGATCAAACCCAGGGCCTCTCCTATGCTAGGGTAGTGGAGGGCAGTGCTTTACTGTTGAGCTACATCCCCAGCCCTTAGTACCCTTTTCTCACGGGAATGACTTCAGCAAGTCACAAGATCTCCCCCCAACACCATACAGATGACAGGAACTCTGCCATGATGTCAGCCCCCACTTCTGGACTCTGAATCGCAGACCTGTATGCAATAAGTGCCAAGCCACTGACCAGGGAAGTCCTTGTAGAAGGACGGATGATGCCATCAGTCCCTCTGGAGTGAAAGTCTGCAGGGTTTGAGCCCTAGGGCCACTGTCATGGGCCATGTCTGATGATTGCTGAGTGCACAGCCTCATAGCCATGGAGCGTGCAACCTGGTAGGTCCATAGATCTCTGCTCCTTCCATCCTGAGGCATCGGCTGCTTCTCTGCTCCCAGGACTGGAAGCTCATAGAGGGTAGGGGTGGAGTCTCCCCCTCCTGTTCCCCAGGGCCTGGCACAGGCTGCTCTACCCACCATGGGTGGATGATAGGCGACTAATGACTGGCCTGAGAAAAGCCCATGGCTGAGCACTGCGAGGACACGTTGTAAGAGGTCACGGGGTCTCGAGGGGTCTCACACTTTGTAAGCTTCTACTTACAACTTAGTCACTTCTGCAAAAACAGAAGGACTCAAACTCAGGAGTGCATTGGAATCACGACACAATCCCTGGCCAACCTCCAGCGTGTAACCCCTTAGACTGAGCCTGGAAACTGTAATTTAACGCACCCCCTCCAACACAAATAACACAGCTACACCAGACCGGTTATTTGTGTGAGAGTCTGATTCGGCTAATCACAGAACATGCTTAGCACGTTCTTCAATCCAAAGGCTTTAAAGAACACACAAGATTTGAATCAGATAAACATGTTTTGAGGCTAGAGAGATGGCTCACTGGTTGAGAGTATATACTGCTCCTGCAAAAAGCAAGCAGCTCACACCACCTATAACCCTAGCTCGAGGGGCTCCAGAACCATCTTCCTAGTTCCATGAGTACCTGTACTCCTGAGCACAGACCCACACACATGTGTACACACATATATGTAATTTAAAACAAATCTTTAGAAAACAAACATGTTCTGTGTCATGCTATCCTATTAAGCTCCAGGATGGATTTGCACCAGGTTCTTCAGTTATAGTGTGAGAATGGATTAAAAAAAAAAAAAAAAAAAAGCCTTGGGAACAGAGGTCAGCGAAGCAGGGCAACAAGGCTGGGGGCAAAGGGGAGTTGCTTGCTGGCAAGATAGACCCGGAGCTCTATAGCACAGCACTGTGGGTGTTGGTAATGTGTCAGGCTGTATCAGGTTGTTTTTCTAGTGCACACTTTCAACCAAAATGAAACAGAAAAAGGTTTTCAAGTGTTGGTGCTGCTGCACATAAAGGCCAGAGGTCCCCACAGGTGCCTTCTATTGCTCTCTACCTTAGTGCTTGAGACAGGATGTCTTGTTAATCCTGAAGCGTTGAACCATTTCGGCTAGACTGACTGGCCAGCCTTCCCCAGGGGCCCACTCGTCTCTGCCTCCCCATTGCTGGAACTGCAGGTACTTGCAGCTTTGTTGACCTATCTCCCGAGTGTTGGAGATTGCACAAGCACTTTATCGACTGAGCCTCTTTCTCAGCCTCCAAAAACTATTTTTCATGGGATGAATGATATAGTATCTACTCCTGACTGCTGTTGTGGGCAGTGTTTATGAAACAAAGTACACAAACCTCCAGTTGTGGCTCAGGAATTAGTAACTGTTCAAAAAGTTATTGCTGTCATTATTTTGTCAGTGTGGTTCTTAAAGTATTCGGTTACAAGCACAGTCTTGTTTAAAAACATTTTAAAAGGATTTATTTACTTATATGTGTAAGAATGGTTTCCTCGCCAGGCGGTGGTGGCACACACCTAACACTCGGGAGGCAGAGGCAGGCAGGCCTCTGTGAGTTTGAGGCCATACCTAGTTCCAGGACAGGCTCTAAAACTACACAGAGAAACCCTGCCTCAAAAAAAAAAAAAAAAAAAAAAAAAAAAGACTGCCTCCACAGATGTGTGTGCCTGCTGTGCATGCAGTACCTGCAGAGGCCAGAAGGTGTTGGACCCCCTGGAACTAGAGTTACAGACATTGTGAAGCACCATACGGGTGCTGGGGACCAAACTCTGTCCTCAGCAGAAGCAGTCAGTCTTCTTCACCACTGAGCCATCTCTCTAGCTCCTTAAAGGCTCTTAAAACAAAATTGTAACCTAAATCTTCAAGATGATAGATGTTCTTCATGTTTTTTGAAATGGGATGTCAATTTTCCAAAAAAGCATCAGCCAGCGAAATTGAAACTTATCCATCATCTTCAAACTGTCCCCCAAAATCCAAATAGCTTTTTGACCAGTTGCATTTTAAAAAAAACAACAACAAGTCCTGACCACCAGACTGTTTACGTTGTCCAGATAAACCTATGTGTGTTATAAAACAATAGCAATAACAACAGGCATATTATCAATTGATGTGTGAAGGCATATGGGTTTTCTTACCGACACTGAAGTCCTCAATTTGCAGTGATAAAGGAAAGAGAACAAGGATGCTACATCTTGTTTTCCACTATAATAAAGGAAATCAAACCAGATATGCCTCCACAAAAGAAAGAAATGTTCTTTCTCTCTCCAGGTCTTGAAAAACAGCTGGAAGTATTTCTCATCTTCGGTGTGCTTCTAGAAGGCAATACAATTTCAGGAGACGTGTGGTCCAAAAGACATCTCTTTTGATTCAGGGCTCATCATTCTTTGTTTGTTTTATTTCATGTGCATCCATGCTAACTTTCTCTCTTCAGCCTGTTGGCTAAACCTTGGAGGACAGATGTACTGTTTTACAGGGGCCATAATCCACTTGTGGGCGGTGCTCCAAGAGGCCATTGTGTGTCCCCATTTACTCCAATGGGAAAACTAGACTATTGCCTTGTAAAACAGCATGGGACCCAAGCCCTGATCTCCTTGGAATGCTAACCTGGGGAACCTCCCCAACCAGATCCATGAAATTCATCATGGTCCTAGATGACCCAAATTAGCTCTAGGCTATATGAAACGGTCCAAAGGCCAATTGAAGGGTATAAATGGTAAAAGAGAGAGAATCAGAAAGAGACCCAAATACAGGATTTATGTCACACAGATGTGCCTAAGAGTCGGGTTCATTATTCCGAGGCTAAGAGGGTCAGGCATCCCTGGAAAAGTTCTCATTCTGTAGGCTTTCAAATCTCTCTCTATTGGAAGGTAAAATCTGAAGCTTATCACCAAAGATTCTCTGCTACGAGTTGTTTACTTCCTTCCTACGAGTACACCCTTTGTGCCTCTCTCATAACCCTCATGGCCGTTCCCAGCATGCCCGTCCCAGAAGTCCCGTGCAGGAAGGAGCAGCGTGGGCAGCGCCCGCCGACTATTGACAAGTTGTACTTTGCCTTATGAAACGGGATGGGCTGTGCTGTATAGAAATGAACTCTCCAGGGTTAGGATGGCTCCACCTCCAGATCTCCAGAGGCACCTGCTGTCTCTCTTCGCACATCCTTGAGAACAAATGACCAGACTGAACTGGTGTGGCTCAGGGGTAGAGCCACTGACTACAAGGGTCTGAGTTTCATCTCTGGCACCTCAAAGACAAATAATTTTTAAAAACTTATTGAAAAACCAGGCACAGTAGCCCATGCATTTAATCGCAGCACTCAGGAGGCAGAGAGAACTGTTCTGAGTTCAAAGCCAGCTCTGTCTACATAACAAGTTTCAGGCTGGGGCTACATAATGAGACCCTGTCTCAAAAACAACAACACAAAAAGGACCTGCAACCAGATTTGGTAGCTCACACCTGTAATGCCATCAGTCCCAAGACCAAAGCAGGAAGATTGCCATGAATTGAAGGGTAGCCTATGTTAGAGAGAAACAACAAAACTCAAAGCCAACAGAAACACAAATACTTAAGTGATGCAGCAGGATCTGGACGTGCTGCTTTCTGTCTGGTAAATTTTCCTTCTGTTTATTCCAGTGAAGACTTGAAGTTGGGCAGTTTGGTGGTGCTGCCTGTAATCCTAACCCTTCCCAGTCATGTAACTTTGGAAGGTTCACTACTGTAGGCCCCAGTGTCCTAACTTAGAACGGGACTCATATCACACACCACACTGAGTGGGTGTTTACAGAAGGCTTAAGAAGTAAAGAATCTGCAAGATGGGGGTACGCAGGGGTTGGGGGGCAGAGGCACCTCCCCGTGTGGTCAACAGAGAGTGACCGCTTTGTCCTTGATGCCTCTGCCCAGCAGCATGGCCTCGTTTGGTTCACTGTAGTTGACCTCCCATTTTCTCATCACCCTGGAGTAACACCTTCACTGTGTCTGGCGAGAAAGAAGCATGTATTAAGCTGATAATGGACTTTTTATAAACAGTAATCACTCACCAGAGCGCATACCCTGCTGCAGAGTCCCACACAATATTTCAAAATGAAATGAGGAAATATTTAAATTTTTCTTCCACGGCTGTTTTCCGTTTGATTTTTTTTAAAAGAGTGAAATGAACAGTTTGCCATGTTTTGTGTCTGATGTGTTTCTTTTTCCTCTCTGTTAAAATGCTGAAGGATTTCCCCCCCCCCTTTCCTGCCTCTGTAGGAGGATAAAAAGAAATCTGTCCCCTGCAATTTGCTCTGGTTTTTCTCAAAAGTTGGGCAGGAAAGTCAGCATCACTCAGGTGGTATCTAAAATGTTCTCGCCGTACAAGAGTGCACGCAAGAAAAGAAGCCTATAATTTCCAAGCATTCTTTCAGGAAGTTTGTATTCTGTTTTCCAGGGAGCCTTTACTTTCCGAGGAAGTATGATCGACATGCCATTACTGAAGCAGGCCCACAACATTGTTACGCTTGCCACATCCATCAAGGAAAAATGATCTGTTAAATGAAGCCCTCCTCAGGCGGGCTGAATGGATACAGTGGGTCGCTTAAAGACAAACCACCGTACCCAGGGCAGCGAGCTAGCACACCCCATCAAATGAAACCTTGTTTCATTTACAGTTCATGTTAGTCACGACTCCCGCCCTCCTCCTGTGTCTTACTGACCAGTTATTCTAACAATAAATTTTCTTCCTTTGGAATCTAAGTTCATGGTTTTTCTGTTGTCTATTAATGTGTTATAAATACGGGCTTATTGTTTCATGGGGAGGAAAGGTGGGTGGGGAGAAGTTAAGTCCTCAAGGAAACAGGTATTCTGGTCTGTGTATACTCTCCCCTTTCCTCTTTTATTAGGAAATATCTCCAATATTATTCAGTTGTACAGTGGACGCCACAGAGAACTTTAAGGCTAAGTTCTTAAAGAATAATATCAAGATTTTCAGCACTTTGAGTAATCAGATAAAATGACAAAGATGACACTGAAAATGTTAGGTATCATATCGGTTTATAAAAGACAGTTTCTAAAAAAAAATCAACTTTCAGAACTGATTCCAGGGGGAGCCACCCCCCCCCCATGTTCTATCCATATGGTGACCCTGAATGCTCTCATCTTGAGCGAATACTTGAGGTCAACAGTTACTGGCAATTAAAAAAAAATGAATGCAGGGAAAACAAGACCGTTCATTCTCCCCTTTATCTTCCTGCTTAACTGTTCGCCTTTGAGGCCATTTCCCCCTGTAAACGTAGGGCCAAGATAGGACTCCCTCAGCCATAAACTTGTACGTCCAGAGGACACAAAGCCACGGGCCAGGCCGGTGCATATGGCCCCCTGTGAGATTTGCATCACATTAGAGATGGGGCTGTGGGTCATATGGGTGGTGTGGTTAACGGGCTTAGGAAAGCTGTTTTGAAGAGGTTAACCCAGCTTGGGGGAAGGGTAAACAAACATAACAACCAGCCATTGTTCCCTATTCAGCACCGTACCCTTCCACTGGAGGCGAAAGGGTATTGAAGCCTCAGAGGATCAACTTGTGCCTGCCAGAGGACGCCAATGAAGTTTGAAACACCAACAAGCGGAGATTTTGTTTCTCTCCCTCATTAAAACTACGAGCTTTTGTGCGGAGACTCTGGACCCCTGTTCTTTAAGAAATTAGCAGAATGGGAAGTTTAAAACTCCACACCAACCTTTTCATGACCTACTCAGCGGCGTGGCTGCTCCTCTTAGACAAACACCGCAGGGGAAGGCTGTTCTGTTTATTTAAATTTGTAAATAGAAAACAGTTGTTTTTCCACTTTCGTTTTTCTCCCCCTCCCTAGGCCCTTCTGGTGTATTCCGTTAGGGGCCCCTGGCGTGTGCCCCATCGGGGTCTACTTTTCACCCCAATCCTTTCCGTTCCTACAGAAGGCCCTCGGATGCCATATCATCCCAGTAATGCCAGGCCAGAAACCATTGTCGCCACCACCTCCATGAACCCCAGTTGCCGGGTAGGAAGGGGAAGACCATGCTCTGACTGGCATGCGGCTGAACCAGATGCAGACCTGATAGATCTGGAGAAACATGTTCTTGAGACGTGAATATTCACAAGCAGGAACCCTGAGGGGCTTTGTAAACAGAGATGAGGCCTGCCTGCTTTGGACCCTGTGTCTCCCCTTGCCCATGAAGCCCCTCGTTAAGAAGTCATCATGCCTCACCTGGGCCGCCTCTTGCTACCCCAGAGTCTCTGGAAAGGCGGGTGGGGAGTAGGAAGGAGGAGCTGTCCTCCGGCGGATGGTGCTTCAGGACAGCGGACAGGGGCAGTGAACAGCGTTTCTGGGTGAGGAGCACCCCCAAGTCCCCATGCTGCGTCTGGAATCATGAAGTCATTTGTACACAGAGTAAGCTAGAACAGGAGTCCACGCTTTTCCCTTAAAGACTTAGGAAGACTGTTCACAAGCCAGCAGAGACTGGAGGGCCTTGATGTACCCGTCAACACACACACATACACACACACATACACACACACACACACACACACACGTGTCAGAAACAGCACTGGTTCAGATAACCTTTGGCTGTAAAAGGATCGGAGGGTACATGTCCTGGCCTCCACTCAGCAATGCCTCAGCCCCCAAGCCCATACAGGTTGGACCTCCACAAGCAAGGACCTCCCTCTGAGGAAGCCCCACCTGTATATGGTGGAAGCCATAGAGTCCTCAAGGAAAGTAACCTTTCACAGTGGTGCTAAGAGCTGGGCCTCGTGAGTCCTCCCAGTCCACAGCAACAAGGCCATGGACTCCTGGGTCTCTACTGTGTTGGATTATCTCTGAGTCCTTCTCACCAACGTCCCTGTTCATACAAAAGCACCCCATTTGGTTCTGGTTTTGATTTTGAAGCAGAATCTTGATATGTATCCTGGACTAGCACCAAACTCACAGGAGTACCCTTGCATCATCCTCCTAAGTACTGAGATTACAGCCGTGCACCACCATACCCAGCTCAAAACCACCTCTTTAGCAAAGCCTTCTCAGATGTGAGGTTGATCATCTTCGTAACCAAGAGATCCCATCTGTGGTAGGATCACAAGACTGGGGCCCACAGGAGATAAAGATGTGGGCCAGTTGCCCATTCTCTGAGCAGATACCCTAACAAGGACCCTAGAAGAGAGGTCGGTGTCTACCGGAGTCCCACGGAACCTCATTCCCTGAGAGAGAGAATCCTAAAACACAGAGAAGCTAGGAGGCAGGCCCCCCCACTCGTACCACCCACATCCCTGGTACCCTGGAGTAGGTGACAGAGCAGGGCTGGCAGAAATGCAGCCAAGGCTGAGAGAGATGAAGTGGGCCTTCATCTTCTGTGCCGGGAAGGGCACACAGGAAGGGGACTTGGCTGCTCATCAGATTAATTAAAAAGAAGCATACCTGTTTATATTTTTCTGTCGCTCATGACAGCCACTTTGGCCTATTGCCCCCCCTTGTTATTAATTCTAGGGGGCTAAATTATGGATAACACTATTAAAACATTATCAGAACTAATGAGAAACAATTACTTAGAAAATGAGCCAGGACAAGATTGAGCTGAGAACATCAGCGGTTGATCGCTGCAGATTAGTTTAATAAATCATCAGGTGCGAAGCAAGACTGACTGGATCGACGCAAAGCCTCGTCACGGGAAAATGAAATTGCGATTTTTTTGCATAATTTTTTCATTAATCTCAATAGAACCCGTGTGGTGTAGATTGCTTTATTCCTTTAATACCTTGCCCGGGGGAGGGGGTACCCAATAATGTCTTCATTGTTTTACTGAGGTCTTAATGACAATCTGTGACAAACTCATTTTAATGTATAGAGGATTGTATCTGTACAGTCATGTTTTATTGAAAGGGTGAGGGGAATTCCCGCCGGATGAGGCCCGGGCTAGGACACAAGTTAGGGAGTTTCTCGAGCCTTGCCTTCAGTTGTCCACCCTGCCGGCAGCGCCGGCTCCCACTGCTCTAGAGACCAGCCTGGAATAGCCCGGGAAATAGCGTCGGGGGAATGAAGACTTCACCGCCTATAGTTTGAATTTGAAAGTCTCTTGATTGCCTGGCATATTTTGCTGGGTCAATAGAACCAGCCATGCGGTGTTCCGCTCTCTAAAATAGAAGTCATTATCCGCTGGAACACCTTTGCTTTGAATAGTTTTGTGGGAGTTAGGGAAACTGACTTTCTTTAGAGACTGGAATTTTCTAAGTTGCCACAGGGAGAGGAAAGAATACCGGCTCTCCACCCCCTCCCTTCTTTTTCTTTTTCAGGACATTCTGCTTTTAGAGCTTACATTTATTTTGCAATCTGAATCCTCTGAGTTTTTATTTTTATTTTTACCCTCTAGTGTTAGAAAAGCAATTGAAGGAACAAAACCGGTCATAAGATTTTTTTCCACGGGAACTTGTGAATATTAATACTGGCGGAGGTCACAGGACGGGTCTGTAAAAGCAGGATTTGGGAACAACGACCTATCTCCCGGGGGCGCCCCCTGCAAGGCCTTCACTTTGCAATTTAGGGGAAGTAATTACCGGACCCTAACATTGAAATGCTAAAGCCTAGCTCTTCTCCCCCCCCCCCCCCTGTTTTAAACTGAGGCCGGGGCTAAGAAAGCGACCGAACTGGAAAGGAAATTACTTTCGGATACCCAGCTTAGTGCCTGTAAAACTTACGCAGTGGGACCCGGCAGCTTTTCGCTCTTCTGTTGTGATGACTTTTGTCGTTAGTGGAGACGGTTTGTTTAATTCCAGCAATTATTTGACGGCACAACTCCTTCAAAATCCGTAAGAATTGCTAGTGACACAAAGCAAGCGCTGGAAAGACACTGAAGTCCTCCCCGGTGTGCAGTTTGTGGCGATCCACTCAGTTTCATCTAAGCGGGTTATTACATTTAGGGGAACTATGTAACTGTGTTCTTCATATATATATGTATATATACATATATGTATGTTATATTTTTTTTCCTTTATTTTTTTCATCGTGACTGATCGGCTGGTTTTTCCTTTCGCTGCTTCCTACGGGAAGGGTAAGGCGAGCCTGGTACCTGCGTGCCGCTGAGGAAAGAGACGTGCCCAAGTGATCAGGATACACGTGTAGGTGCTCCGTCCCGCGCCTCCCACCGCCCGCGATCGATCAACTTGCGGGCTTAGCCCTGGGGCAGAGACCAGCCGGCTCCGGACACCATTAGGAGGGAGGCTGCTGCCCTTCCCTTGGCGATGAGTTACACGAGTGTAGCGGTACTGGGAATTGGGGGAGCACTGGCCGGCAGGGCCAGGCCCGGGCCGCAGTGGGGGGATTCCAGTGGCCCAGTGTCCAGGACTGCAGGCCTCCCGGACCCCGCGAGCCTGTCACGCAGCCAGGCTGTAATGGTACAAGATCAAAGGCTGCCCCGTGTCCCCGCGGAGCCAGGGACAATCCCTCGCCTTTGTGCACGGTTGCTAGGAGCCGGAGAAACTAAGAGAAAGTGTCAGAAGCGTGTTAATCAGACTCGTTACAGTGTAACAATAACGTCTCTCTCGGGGCTCCTGGGCCCCTGTGCACCCCGCACACAGGCCGGACACCTGCGTGGGGCCCATAGCCGGTACTGGGGACCCGTCCTCTGGGTGTGTCAACAACACCGAAGCTTGCTTCTGGGCCACGGGCGAAGGCAAATTGTGGGGGAGCCTCCAGTGCCGGGCGAGTCCTCTGGGTTCTGCTGTACTGGTTCTG